TAATAATAATAATAATAGTAGTAGTAGTAGTAGTAGTAGTAGTAGTAGTAGTAGTAGTAGTAGTAGTAGTAGTAGTAATAGTAGTAAGTGCCATCTAAGCTCAACATAATAAGACCAGGTCCTTTCTTAAGACTTTCACCCCAAGAAACAATATATCCATTTGATGTTCTTGTCCATTTAAATGTATGTTTTATTTCTATTTATTTATCAAATTTATATAGCCAGCCAAAAGGCTATATCTCAACAAAAGTTACTTTGGGTGGTAGACATAATGAGATAAAACAATGTTAAGTTGCTAAATTGACAGCACTTCATTAAATGTATTGATCCTTTCTAATCCATGGGACACAAGTGTTCACTCTTAATCCAAAAATCTATTTAATGGGCCTTTCTTCTATCCCATGCAACTTGTGAGATGCAGTTCAAAAACAAGCAAAATTATAACTTATCCAAGTCACTGTGTATGGTTCAGAACTCAATGTTTCACAATTAAGGTCAAATTGCAAAGACTACTAGAAACAAAGAAAAAAAAATACTTTCGCTTTTCATGAAAGCCTGTCAGAAAACATCTGCAGGTTGGAAAAATAAATAAATAAATAAAACAAAAAGCACATAGACATGGTTTCCACACTGTCCAGGCAACACGTGTGAATATCTATAAGGTGAGTATAAGAGATCACAACTTTTAAGCAGCAGCTGCCTTCCTTGGTAGGCAACAAATCAGATAGGGATTAAGGAGATCAGGTTTTTCCTTCCCCACAAAAAAAAAGTGTGTGGGAGAAATAATGAGCCTTACTGGCTTTCCAGTAAGGAAACAAACAAGGACCCCTTCATATAACTGCTCCAGGGCACTGCGCAAAAAAAGACTCTTAATTAAGAGATGCCCCAAGCAGATGGCAAGCAAACCTATCTTCAAGAGTCAGCTGATTTCCCTCCCTCCGGACACCTCATAGTGGGAGGGGGGCACACCCTTGAAAACCTAGGGTGTAGAAGGGACCGTGAAGGGATCAAGGGTAGACAAAGATAAAGAAGAGCCTCTTTAATTTCCACTGGGGATGGCCTGCAGATCTGCCCCCTCCTTTCTTTTAGCAGAGCATCTTAAGAAATTAACATGGGTTTCTTTACTTCCTTTGATCATGATTCAATCTTCGGCTCCCTCTTGTCTTGAGTGGGGGGGAGTACACATACACACAACTCCAGGGCGCGCACAATGCAAGTCATCCTCTCCCCGGCAAGCTTCACATGCAGGGAAAGGGGTCATTTCAAAGGGAGTTGGGTGAGGGATGCCAGAAACGGACTCCCCAGTCCCAGCGTTGCGTGTAGTGGAGGGAGCCGTGCCAAGCCGCTCGCGGGAAAAAAGGAGAGAGAGCCCGGATCGCGAGTTGGGAGCCGATCGCGACGCGGTTACCAAGAGGGGTGAAGGCGAGAGCTTTTGTCCGAGGAGCGAGTGCGAGTCCCCGGGGAGGAGGCGTGGAGGGAAAAGAAGCTTGCTGGACCAGCGGACAAAGAAGCGGCCGCGTTTCGCTCCGTGCCGGGCAGGTCCCGGTGCATTTCTCCCACCTCGCTCACCTGGTAGATGGCGGCCCAGCTGTCCTCCTGATCCAGCCGCTGGAACTCCTTCTCGATCTCCATGCTGCGGGGAGGGGCTCAAGTTTGGCTGGCCCTCGGCCGCCGCCGCTGCTGCTACCGCTGCTGTTCGGACGCCAGGGCGAGTCCCAGCCGCTGCCTGGAGCGCCGCCGCCGCCGCCGCCGCCGCTGCTGCCGCCGCCTCCGCGGCTCTTGCTGCCTGGTCGCTTCAGATAGCGCCTCCCCTTCCTTCTCGCTCCCTTCCAGCCCACACGGAAACTACGCAAGCAGCTTCTTAGCCTTCCGGCATGGTCCTCCCCGACTGGCAGAGAGGAAAGCTGCGGGAGGCTCTCTCGAGCGGTGCTGAGAGGGAGCGGGGCTTCGTAAGGATGAGAGGATGATCCGCTGTGATGCTTAGCTCCAGGCGCAGCGAGATCAAAGGGCCGATCAGAGTACTTCTGAGCCCCTAGAGTACTCAGAGCCCACTGTAACAACATTGCCAAAAAGGCACTAAGAGTTGTTAACCTAACCCTGCATAGCTTCTTCTCTGGCAACCAGGGCATGCAAAACATTTGCTAGACCAATTCCCGAATCACTGCACTGCATATGGGACATTAATACAATTGAGCAAGTCAACAACTGTAACTGATTAATAGTATTATTGTTTCTTACTCATTTTCTGCATTCTGCACAATATTACTTTCAGAAAAAGGAAAATAATATGATTCTATCTATCTATCTATCTACTGTATCTATCTATCTACTCTATCTATCTATCTATCTATCTATCTATCTACTCTATCTATCTATCTATCTATCTATCTATCACCTACCTACATATCAAACTGAGCTGAAGTATAGACATACTTTTCCTTATATCAATGAAGTGAATAACCCCATAATTTCAAATAGTAGTCAGCAAGAATATTTAAAAAATCTCCATTCCAAGTTACTGATATATGGGGTGATAAAAGTACACATATCTTTTCCAATACCCTGTAACTTAATCCCTTTTTCCCCATTTCAATAAAACTAACTTTGTGGCATGCCACTGAATATCCTTCTCCAGTTTTATGAGTATTGATGAGCACTTTGAATGTGCTTTTGAAACCAGCTATATATATCTGTTACTGTAGTTCTTGTGTCATTCCAGACTACACTTAATTAACTTGCTGATGGGATTAATTTGTCATGAGATACTTTATCAAGTGTTTTGCTGAAGTTAAGATAGTTACAGTTTACACCCCCAATATGGTGAGGAAATTATCCATGAGATAAAGTTAGTCTGACAAGACTTATCCCTGAAAAATCCATGCTGGCATCTGGTAATCTTGGCACTGTTTTCAAGGCCCTTACAAACCAAGCACTTATGACTATAACCGTGTTGCTTGCATCTTTCAATTTATATTGTTTCCTAGTACGATTTGATAGCTTATTAGTAACCTTGACTATCACTA